ATTCAGATTCGGAAGAGTTCCATTTGATTAGAAAGTGTAGTTCAAGTTGTAGAATGTGAACATGAAAGACGGAGACGCGGGGAATTAAAAGAGTTCGCGCATCTTTACGTTTTTAGTGTTTTGACATATAGAAAAACAGCTTCTGCTTTGTGTGTTTCAGAATAAGTAGAGCTGTTGTCAAACTTGAGTAAAAAGTGAGTTTCTTTGACTTAAAGGGAAGCGCACTGTGCAAACTCGACTCTCCAGAGCTTTTAGACTTAATGTTATAATTGTTTTCTCTTCTAACCATGTTTAAGGGGCGCTGCTGTGCTTTTCACAGTAATGAACATGTTCCACTGTTATGACAATTACCTATTTAAAACAAAATGTGATATCTTGGGAAAAAGCAGGGGTGGCGCTCCACATTTTTGGTTGGAGGAGCTATGGGGGTTGGGGGTCTTCAATGTGGGGGCTCATGTAACATGTACAACCCCCCCAGGTTTGTCGTGAAATGTCATTAGCCATTGCTCTCATTTCTAAATCCTAATTAGGAATGATAGTTTTATTGTCTCATTTTGAACTCTGTGTTGTTGCCATTTGAACATTTTAGTCACGACTGGTCTAGAGGAGGCTGGTGCTCGTCCAGGCCTCGTCTCGTCTGTGTGCTTCTGTCACAGCTCCTCCTCGTGCTCCAATAAACATTTCTTTTTACTCAGGATTTCATTCATCTTTATTGTGACTTGTACAATCTTGAGCCTCAAGAAACGCCACTTTGGCCACTGATGCCACTAAGACCACCAACAATGCACAACATAAATTACAATTAGAATTGGAAAATAATAAAAGACACACACACACGCACACAAAAATAAATAAATAAATAAAATTACAAATACCCTGCACACAATCTGTTCAGCCTCCTGTCCTCTGGGGGGAGGTACAGGAGCCTCTGTTCCCACATCACCAGACTCACTAACAGCTCCATCCAGCAGGTTGTTAGGATGCTGAACTCTCTCCCCTCTCTGATCACCAGGCAGACAGGAACAGAACTCCCCAAAGAACAGAACTCCCCAAAGAACAGAACTCCCCAAAGAACAGAACTCCCCAAAGAACAGAACTCTCAAAGAACAGAACTCCCCAAAGAACAGAACTCCCCAAAGAACAGAACTCCCCAAAGAACAAGAACTCCCCAAAACAGAACTCCCCAAAGAACAGAACTCCTCAAAGAACAGAACTCCCCAAAGAACAGAACTCCCCAAAGAACAGAACTCCCAAAGAACAGAACTCCCAAAGAACAGAAACTCAAAGAACAGAACAGAACTCCCCAAAGAAAGAACTCCCCAAAGAACAGAACTCCCCAAAGAACAGAACTCCTCAAAGAACAGAACTCCCCAAAGAACAGAACTCCTCAAAGAACAGAACTCCCCAAAGAACAGAACTCAAGAACAGAACTAAGAACAGAACTCCCCAAAGAACAGAACTCCTCAAAGAACAGAACTCCTCAAAGAACAGAACTCCCCAAAGAACAGAACTCCCCAAAGAACAGAACTCCCCAAAGAACAGAACTCCTCAAAGAACAGAACTCCTCAAAGAACAGAACTCCCCAAAGAACAGAACTCCTCAAAGAACACTTGGACTCAGACCCTCCTGACTCCCCCCAATATAGACTTTCTTATGCTTTGCACTACATGCCTTTTGCACTTTTTACCATCCATCCATTTTTTTCCTCTTATCCGGGGCTGGGTCATGGGGGCAGCAGTCTAAGCAGGGACTCCCAGACTTCCCTCACCCCAGACACTTCCTCCAGCTCCTCCGGGGGGACCCCGAGGTGTTCCCAGGCCAGCCGAGAGGCATAGTCCCTCCAGCGTGTCCTTGGGGCCTACTCCAGGTGGGACATGCCTGGAACACCTCCCAAGGGAGGCTCCCGTGTGACTGAGCTCTTCACCCTGTCTCTAAGGGAGCACCCAGCCACCCTGTAGAGGAAACTCATTTTAACGCTTGTATCCGCGATCTCGTCCTTTTGGTCATTAACCAGAGCTCATGACCAGAGGTGAGGAGAGGAACAGAGACTGATGGTAAATCAAGAGCTTTGCCTTTCGGCTCAGCTCCCTCTTGACCACAACGGTCCGGTACAGTGACCACATCACTGCTGACGCTGCACCGATCCACCTGTCAATCTCACAGTCCGTCCCTCACTCGTTATACCCAAGATACTTGAACTCCTCCACTTGAGGCAGGGACTCTCCACCCTCCCACACCTTTTTCCAGTTGAGAATCATGGCCTGAATCATGAACCTTTGGACCATTTATTATTTATTTATTATGCATGACAGTGAGAAACACTATTTAGATTGTTTGTATGATCGCTGTATGAAGAACTGACAATAAACTTTGAACTTGAAGTTGAAAACACACCGCACAGGCCAACCTGTACTTGGCAGGAGATTGATCTTTAAACACACGTGATTCACTTTGTTTTAACTTTACTTTACTTGGTTTGCTGACATGCTGCACTACTGCTCTTAACCAGGTGTGCGTCTTTATCAAGGGTCCAGCAGAACCCAACAAAACAACAACAGTTCCTACCTGTTGACTACCAAAATACAATCACTTATTATTATTACATATTATTGAAGAATGATTTAAATAAAAAGCAAAGTAAACTTATGGCAATAAAAGCTCATATGGAGGGTTAAAACATCTTTTCTCCGTTCTGCTTTGCCTGAAATGCTTCGCAAAGTGACATAAAACTTTGTAATCTCCATGGAGACAGGCATTATAAAAAACTGTAACATATAAATGCAAGAAGTTTTAATGTCATACTGTGGAACAAACAAAGCAGCAGCATTTTGATGAGACCAAGATTATTTTCGACAGTTTGCAGAGGTCCAAAGTTCTTCCGTGATGAGTTTATAAGAGTTTTTCACAGCTTTAAAGACCGGAGTGGAGATTAGTCATGACTGAAAAGCTGCTTATATAATAAATCTGTGATGGAGCAACTCAACTTTTGCTCAGATCCATGAGAAAAACCCGCTCCTGGCCCTTTAAACCCTCATTTGGGCCTGGACTAGTCGGGTTATAGTCCTGGTGGTACTTTGAAATCTCTCTTTTGCTGCTTCTCGGTGTGAAAAGTTTGCGAGCCACTGCACACTTAGCCTTTCTTTCATGCTATTTGAACTGTCTGTTTCACCTGTCTCCTCCTCCTGCACCTGTCCATGCACCTGTCCATCTGGTCGAGCGCGATGATGGCTCTAAACAAGCCTCGTACGTCTCCTCTCTCCTCTCTCCTTCTCTCCGTCTCTCTGTAACTAGCGGTGCTTTTGTCTGAGCTGCTCCTCCAGTCTTTTTAATGCTTAAATAAAGAGGCGGTTGTGTTCTTTTCTTTTCTCTTTGTCTTTTCCGTCGGAGAGCTGGCCCCGGCCCTCACCCGCCGGGACCCCACGCGCTCCACTGCTCCGCTCTTCATATAGAAACAAGCCTCGATGAGAATGAATCATACAACAAAGTCAAACGCGAGCGCCCTCATCTCTCCTCCATCACTCTTCTATCGCTGCTCTTTCTCTGTCTCCTCTCCCTCTCCCATACTCCTTTACCCTCTACCCTCTACGCCCTTTTAGCCTCTCTCTCTGTGTTTGTCTCTCTCTCCGTTCTCTCCCTTTCCTCTGCTTCACAACCTCAGTTCCCTCTCCTCTCTTTTCTCCTTCTCTCTCTTACCCCTTTTATCCTTCCTACACTATTCCTTCTCTCTCCACTGCTCCTCTATCCTCTGCCTCTCTCTCTCTCTCTCTCTTTCTCTCTCTCGCCTCTCTCTCTCTCCTCCTTTCCTCCTCCTCTCTCTCTCTCTCTCTCTCTCTCTCTGTGTGTGTGTGTTTTCTGTCTCTTTCTTCACTCTCTCTTCATTCTCTCCCTCTCCTCTGCTCTTCAACCCCAATTCTCTCTCTCCTTTCTCCTCCTCTCTCTCTTACCCCTTTTATCCCTCCTTCACTATTCCTTCTATCCTCTTGTTCTCTCTCTCTTCACTGCTTCTTTACCCTCTTCCTCCTTCTCTCTCTCTGTGTTCTGTCTCTCTGTCTCTCTTTCCTTTCTCCTCCTCTCTTCTCTCTCTCCTCTCCCTCTCCTTTACTCCTCTATACCCAACTATTTCAAATTTTATCTGCAAATGTTTAAAGCCCCCATAAGTCACTTTTTATCCATAAAATACACCAAATACACTATTTTCTTTCATTTTGTTTGTGTGTATCAGTGGTGTGTGGTCAGAGGAGCCAACGCAGCAGTGGTTTCCTAATAAAATAAAATTAAAAAAAGCTGCCATTATTAAATTGTTATTGACCTAATGTTGACGTCCACTCAAAGTCTGCAGGACGACACATAAAGACACCGCACACTACTACACACTAAATTACTCTGAGAAACATATGTCCTTACTGTGAGCCGACTCACATCTCCACAGATCTGACTCTTATTTGGCCTCCTGCTTGTTTCCATGGAAATGTTGTTCCTTTGGCTTTAATATTCCACAGTATGACATAAAACATACAAGTGTTGTTTTAACTTTCTCTGTCCATGTTTTTTTTTTTTTTTTTTTATGTATGTAAGTATGTATGCATGTATGTATTATTATTATTATTATTATTATTATTATTATTATTATTATTATTATTAATATATATATATATATTTTTTTATCAGGGACAGAGCACATTAATCAACATTTCTGTAGCATTTCTATTTTACAGACCCTGGACAGATGGTAAAGATGATCACAATAATAAGAATTACACACAATATTTGTCTTTAAATCTTCTGAATAAAATGTAACATTTATTTATTTTTTTTATTTTTATTTTTTTTGTGAACTCCAATACTAAAATTATTCTTTTCTGTTGGACTGGGGTTGGTGTGTGTTTTGGTTCTTATTCATTTTTGATTATTTACATACAACCTACTTCTGTCTGTTTTTGTGTGTGTGTGTGTGTGTGTAAATCCTGACCTGTGTTTGTTCTTTTGTCTCTTTTTCACAGCACTCGTACTTCATCGCTCCAGACATCCACGGACTCCCCACCATCCCCGAAAGTGTGAGTGCAACACCCTTACTCTTCTCCTCCTCTTCTTCTCCTGTCCTCTTCTCTTCATCTCCTCCTCCTCTCCTTGTACCCTCTTCTCCTCCTCATCAATCTCCTAATTTTCTCTTCTTTTTCTCCTCTCTCCTTGTCACCTCTCTCCTAGTCTCCTCTTCTCCCCTCCTCCTCTTTTTGTCCCCTCTCCTCGTCTCCTTTCCTCTCCTCGTCTCCTCTCTCGTTGTCCGCTCTCTCGTCTCGTCTAATCGTTTTTAATCGCGTACACCGGTCACTGTTTGAAAGCGTTGCATCACTCTCTTGTTGAGTTTTGATCTGAAACTTCTCCTGGTGCATTGTGGGTAAATGAGTCTGATCCAAACAGAAGCGTCTCTTTGTTTTTAAGTCTGATTCTAGTGGTTTTTGACAGGAGACATTTTAAGAACATGACTGCACCAGAGTGAAGAGGGAGAGAGAGTTAATATCAGCTTTTTATCTTTATTCTGTGTTTGCACGAGGCTCTCAGACGCACAAGCTCCTCCACTCACTCTGATACACCCATGTTACAAATATCAACAATCAACAATATAAAGACTGGAGGTTAAAACACAGCATTTCTTATATGTCAAAAATTTAAAATTTTATTATTTCTTATAATGCCACAGACTTAAATAGGGCTGCAGGCCTTTAGTCCTTTTTAATCAGTTCATTCTTACTAAGTCTCTGATCATATTGTTCAGATTTCAGTGGGACTACAACAGAAAAAAGGAGTTAGTGAGCTGAACATTTTGAGTACGTTCAGACTGCAGGGCTTAACGCTTAATTTGGATTTTTTTGTGAAATTCCGATGTTTTTGGGAGGTCGTTCACATTTCCAATTAAATGTGACTTGTATGTGACTCCAGTGTGAACATTAAACGGCCCGAAAGTGTCCCACATGTGACACTGGAGACACGATGACGTCGACCGCAGCGAGCGTCTCTGTGTTTACAGAAGTTGTCCAAACATGGACGCAGTATCGAGCACCTGGAGATTTTAAAGTTCCTCTCGAACCAGAGCCAGAACATGAACAACTTACTTGTTTTAAGGAGGAGATTGAGAAGGAGAAGGACGATGTTTTTGGTCGTGGTGTTTTGTAGGACAGTCTGTTGAAAGGAACGTGTGGATGTGGAGACGGAGCCAAGAGTGGTGAGTGGTGATGTGCTTCACTTCAGTGACATGGAGTTCATTAAACATTTTCATCTACTTCAGTGCTGAATAGTGACGTTTGTGGCTTGTTGATAATGTGTAGGTGGATGAATGCACTTTGGCCGTTCAGACTGAAGTCACATGTCAAAAGATCAGATATGTATCAGTTTCAGGAGCACATATCCAAGTGTCCTGGGTCACATTTGAAAAAATCAGATCTGTGTGGTTCAGACTGTCATTAAAAGATCAGATACAGGAACATAGAGGCCAAAAAAATCTGATTTGGGTCACTTCAGGCTGCAGTCTGTCTTTTTATGTCTTCTTTTACTGATTCATTTATTAATTTTGATGGAATCACACTAACCATTTTTGTCTTGGTCATGAACAGTATTTCAAAAACTAAAGCTATAAATATATGATTCTATTTTGTATTTTGTTGTCCTTAGTGCATAACATGTATTTTTTAAACAGGCTCATGAGGAACAGTGGAAATATAAGAGTAATGTGGCTGTTTTAATGTATTATTTATGTATTTATTTATTACAAAATGACAAAAATATACAGTAAAAAAATATTAAGCATAATTTAGCAAATATATTTTGTAAATGGGACCCCTGAAGTCTAGTCAGGCTGGCTCCACCTAGTGCCTCCACTCAATTTAATTTCTCTCCAGAGACTAGGTCAGGAATCAGAATACATTAGATGGTTTACAAAAACCCAGAAGTGTGAGTTCAGGCACCAGCCAATCAGAGAAGAGACATATATTCTGTGTTGTCAACGATTCCTGAGATCGAGGATTTAAAGCCGGAACAAAGAGAATGTTTGGTGAATTTATCAAGGGGAAAGACGTTATTGTCCTTCTTCCTATGGGATTTGGGAAAAGCTTAATATACCAGTTAGTTAGTGTTACATACATCACGTTTTGACAATTTGGAAGTGAATTTGAGGTGGGAGGACTGAAAAGTGAAATGTGTGTTTTGGAGTTAGGATATATACTGTCTAATGAGGAGAAAGTAGTCATAGTAGTAGTAAAAAGTGTATGTTGACAAATGTTCCAAAATGAGGTGATTTAAAATAAAATGTAATTGCATTGTAATTGTTCATGATCCATCAGGTTAAGTGTTGTGTCATTTTGCATATCTCATATCTGTGTTGAATTTATAAAACACACTGCTCCTTTCCTTCTTTTCCAAGCAAATAGCAGTGATTGGTTAAATGAAAAAAAGTACGTAGTGCCTACTGTTGAGCAAACGAAATCTAACACTGTGAGGTCAGACAGTTTCTACAAAGTGAAACAAAGTAAAACCGTCTGATGAATCAGGTTACCTGAAGTCGACCTTGGTTTGGAAATGTGGCCCACACCAATTAAAATACAGATAATACACAATACAAATATTCACATTTGATTCATTCTTAAAACACCAGATGTGCAACATGTCATCTTCCTTTTTGTCTTCTCCTCTCCTCCTCTTCTCCTTCTCTGCTCGTCTCCTCCACTTTTCTTCTCCTCATGTCATGTCATCTTTTCTAATCCTCTTCTCTTCTTCTTTTCTTCCTTCTTTCCTTTCCTCTTCTCCTCCTCTTCTCCTAGTCTTGTCTCCTCCTCTTCTTCTCTCCTCCTCTCCTCCTAGTCTTATCTCCTCGTCTCCTCCTAGTCTTATCTCCTCGTCTCCTTGTCACCTCATCTTCTCCTAGTCTTGTCACCTCCTCTTCTCCTAGTCTTGTCTCCTCCTCTTCTCCTCCCCTCCTCTCCTCCCAGTCTTTTCTCCTTGTCACCTCATCTTTTCTAATTCCTCTTCTCCTCTTCTTTTCCTCTTCTCTCTCCTTGTCTCCTTTCTCGTCTCCTTCCTCGTCTCTTCCTCTCATCCTCTTCTCCTAGTCTGGTCTCCTCTTCTCCTTGTCACCTCATGAATGATACAAATGATCCACATGTTTGATTCATTATTAAAACACTCACTTTACATTCAAACATGTCACTTTTATTAGAGAAATACATGATTATGTTGTTCTGAATTTGTGTTCATTTGTGATGTTTTGTGACTTCAGATAAACACGTGGTACTTTAAACTTAAATTAAACTTGAACAGTGACAGTGATGTGACAAGAGAAACATCAGATATCTGTATTTAAAAACAACTTTTGAAACTGTTTGTCATTGATTCTTACATTTTTACTCATTTGAAACCATCCGTAAAAGTAAAAAGTGTCCGCAGACTGTGAGTTGGAGTTGCTGTGGAGTTTGTTGGCTTTGGGATCCTGTCAGTGGCGTGAAATCTGATCCTGTACATTCTCATATTGTTTTGTGACAGCGAAAAAACACTCCTGAATCCAAACACCTTTTTAAGTCCGCACTTCCCGACTCCACGGCTTGATTCTCCGCTAATAAAATCCATTGACATTTTTCCCGCGGAGTCTGGCCTTGGACTCTTTCACTCCTTTCACTTCCTCATATAATTTTAGCTCCGTCTTGTCGAGGAGTGTGCCACCGACTCGGGTGCTTTTACCTGCCCGGGCGCCGCGTCTTTGCCTGACACTTCTACGCTCCTATTGACGTTTTCTCCACTAGCGAGGGACAGTTTGTTATGTACCGCGCGCACACACACACACACACACACACACACACACACACACACACACACACATGGATACACACAGACTTCGAGGCTTTCTGGGGACCTACATTGACTTCCATTCATTTCCGTGTAACTTTTCTGGTGGAGCGTCCGTCAAATGCTTTTCTTCGTGGAGCTGTTATCGCTTTGTCCGGAATGTTTCACAGTGTGGCATTAAACCTTGCTATCTTCATGGAGACCAAACCAGACCAAGTTACAGGTCAGATCTGTGGAGAGGCGATCCCGCTCACAGTCACAATGTGTTTTTATCGGTATTTTTGAGCTGTAAAACTGCCAGCTGTTCCAGGCACAGCAATGACATCTCCATAGAAACAAGCAGGTGACGGACCCACAGCCATAAAGTTACACAATGCACCTTTAAATCCTCAAGCGTAAAGGCGTTATATTTGATTTTCACGGTCTTAAAAACATAAAAAACAGAACTATTTAATTTGAAACAGTTTGCAGTGGTCCAAAGTTACTCCTCACTTACCTTATGCCTAATTATTCACCATGATGAGTTTTATAAGAGTTTTTATTTTTATTTTTTTTTACTTTTTGTGCACATAAATAAGATGTCACAGAAGAAGAAAAATAAATAAATCAATAAATAATATAATATAATTAACAGTAATACAATGCGACCATTCCCCCCCCCCCCCCCCCCTCACCCCTCCCCCACTCTCTCCAGAGAAAAGAAAAATAAATAAATAATAATAATAATAATAATAATAATAATGATAATGATAATAATAATAATAAAAAAAAAAAAACTAAACAAACAAACAAAAAAAAAAAAAACACAGAGTTTTTCTCTTACTCTCAGAGACCAAAGCAGAGTTGTGCTGTCACGGTAAAGCTGACAACAACTAGTATGATAAAACACACTTCCTGATTATCAGACAAAAAATGCTTTTTTGGACATAGTGGACTGATTTTGACCTCAAGACAGTGAAGGATTTAAGTCATGGGGACCTGATTCTTGCATAGATATTTATATATAAAGTCGGGTGTACAATGTGATTTTTGAACATTTTTGAGACGATTGTTCACTCATGCCACTGTTTTGTCATCAGGACAAGTTTTAGTAGTAGTAGTAGTAGTTTATTATCTACAGTCCTTTACTTAATCATGTACTTAATAGACTGTTACAAACATTTCACATAAAACCGTGACCAAAGCTGAAGTGAAATCACTTATGAATGCTGAAATCTGTTTACAAATGACGATGCCAAGAATCCAAGTGTCAGCAAACAACAAGCAACAACTTGGATAAAACAGAGAAAAGAGAATAGGTTTCACTTAATCGTGTGTCGTGTGTCGTGTAGTTAACATGGGGAAATGAGAACTGATCAACACCTCACGACCAACTCTCCATCTGCAATTGTAGATCTCAAGAAAATGAAACTGTGTTGAAGTCATTAGTGTACTCTGAGGACATGAATTGTGAGCTGTGAATTTTTAAACACTGCAATTTGGTCATACAGTCTGAGCTGGGGCTGAGTGAAACCATCGAAAATATCAGTGTACTACATCCGGCATAAGTGGACATTGCTAATCTGTTCCACTGTGTAGAAGTGAGCATGGGCACGATTCAGCTCCATCGACTCACTTTCTATTCAAAGATTACTGCTGCTGTCTGTGGATGGGACAATAAACTGTAATATGGTTTATCATGATAAAAAGGGTCGACAATAATCATGTGTGGGACATTTTCTTTAATCATGACAATGGACAACAAAGAGAATCTCCATTATATGATGTGGTCTGGATGACTGGAAGTCATAATAAATCTCTCTTTTTACAAGTGACACACTGTGCAGGATTCTTCTCTATGTTCTTGTTCTGCTCTCTCCTCCAACGCACTCGTCTCATCTAACTGATGTGCAAAGTTCCCATTATTTTTCATGTTTTCAGTTATAATAAAGTACTTTAATTATGTGAACAGTTATTTCAATATGGAACTTATTTACTATAATATAAAAATTATAATTCTTCATATCCATAACATTTTTAAACTGTCAACAACTTTAATAATGATTGTTATATAATTGTTAATCATTTTTATTTTGACCATGATAATCAAGACACCAGATTTCAATATCGTCTCATGCTGAGTGTGGATGAAGTACTCAGATACAGTTAGCACAGGACTCTACTGCTGTCAGGAGCTTTGTGGTCATTATGAACTTAAAACATTTTATGTTAACTTCTGCTCTCTCTAAATCCTTGTATCATTCGTTCATTCGTTTTTCAATATTCAACCAAAAATAAGAAAACGAAAAAACAACAGTTTTCTTCATTATTTCTCTCCAAAACCAAAATGAAAAAACAGATAACGGCCGTTTCCTGTTTACGTGACTTCTGTGACTGCGATGCCGAACTGAACCAGGACTGATCCAGGTCCGGGACCAGACCAGGACCAGACTGGGATCAGACCGGGACCAGACTGGGACTGAGGCCAAGACCAGGCCAGGACCAGACCGGGATCAGACCGGAGGCTCAGAGTCCAAGGCAGGTCCAGAGCTTGAAGCTGAGGCTCGGACCCCACGGAGGCGCGGAGTCCACTCTGGTCCCGGTCTCAGTCCCGGTCTCAGTCCCTCTCTGGTCCCGGTCTCAGTCCCTCTCTGGTCCCGGTCTCAGTCCCACTCTGGTCCCGGTCTCAGTCCCACTCTGGTCCCGGTCTCAGTCCCACTCTGGTTCCGGTCTCAGTCCCACTCTGGTCCCGGTCTCAGTCCCACTCTGGTCCCGGTCTCAGTCCCTCTCTGGTCCCGGTCTCAGTCCCACTCTGGTCCCGGTCTCAGTCCCACTCTGGTCCCGGTCTCAGTCCCACTCTGGTCCCGGTCTCAGTCCCACTCTGGTCCCGGTGTGGTCCCAGTCTGGTCCCGAACCTGGTTCAGTCCATATGTGGTGCAAAAGTCTGACATCGCAGTCACGGAAATCACGTGATCGGGACCGATATCCGTTTTTTTCCATTCTTCATTTAAACACAAAATCGAAAACTGAAAAAACTAATTGTTATCCGTTTTTTCATTTTGGTTTTGGAGATAAAAAATGAAGAAAACTGTTGTTTTTTTCATGTTCTTATTTTTGGTTTTATATTGAAAAACGAACAAATGATACATGGACTTTCTCTACTCTCTTCTACTCGATCCTGGTTTGTTTGACAAACCAGTGGTGTGGGTGGGATAGCACAAGTACCTTCAAAGACCTCTCCCCTGATTGGCTTTTAGGTTGCTATGATACTCGTGCTCAGAGTTCCACAAATAAACTCCAGAAAATTGCCCGCTATAACTGCTACCCTCTTCATTTGGCTGGAGCTGTACATTATGGGTGACATTATACTCACTTAGTCCACTTCTATGATACAGTCTATAGATTTTGCCACCTTAAACTCCACAGGTCCCCATGATCCGAGTGTGTGTGTGTATACTCTGGTCCCCACACTGTGTTAAATCCCCGCTCTCTCCCTGTCTATGTGTCTGCAGAGGAACCTGACAGAATACTTTGTGGCCGTAGACGTCAACAACATGCTCCAGCTGTACGCATCCATGCTTCACGAGCGGAGAATCATCATTACCTCAAGCAAGCTCAGCACTGTGAGTACCAACCTCTACCATAGCAGCCCGCGTAGCTCCCCCCACTGCAGGCTGCTGTGCGCCGTCAGCCCAGGCACCATCAGAGCTCAAACGCACACACAGACACACGCACACAGACGCACACACACAGACACACACAGACACACACACAAAACTACTGCACAGGAAATGACTTACTCCGAACGTGGCTGGCTGCAGCGTGAAGTTTGGAGGAGAGTTGGAAAGGGTCTAGTTTTGATTCTTGTTTTGACAATTTTGGAGTGAATTTGAGGTGGGAGGACTGAAAAGTGGATATTATCGAAATGTGTGTTTTGGAGTTAGAATATATACTGTCTATAGTGAGGAGAAAGTAGTCATAGTAGTAGTAAAAAGTGTATGTTGACAAATGTTCCAAAATGAGGTGATTAAAAATAAAATAAAATTGCAGAGTAATTGTTCATGATCCATCAGGTTAAGTGTTGTGTAACTTTGCATATCTCATATTTCTGTTGAATTAATAAAAAACGCTGCTCCTTTCCTCCTTTTCCAACCAAATAGCAGCGATTGGTTAAATGGCAAAAAGTACCCACCTACCGTTGAGCGAACAAATCTTAACACTGCGAGGTCTGACGGTTTCTACAAAGTGAAACAAAGTAATGATCCATCAGGTTAAGTGTTGGGTAACTTATGTGTGTACAGTCGTCCCTCGTTATATCGCGGTTCACTTTTCTCAGTCTCACTGTTTTGCATATTTTTTAGTGCAGTATTGCATGCCTTTTTTTTTTTACAGTGTATAAACGTACATTGTGTTCCTCCCGCTGCGTCCTGATTGGCTAAGGGACTCGTGTCTCCTTCTCGTACAGAATGCAATCAGCTGCCAAATTTATATAAATGTTGGATCTGTATCAGTGTGATTCTGAAGTGTTGCATGTTTGCAAGTTTTCTCCCTGACAAAATCCACAATGTCGACGAAACGTTCTGCACCGACAAAGACTCCTGCGCTCACACCCAAAAAGCAGAGGAAGATATAACCATCACACAAAAAGTTGCACTTCTGGACATGCTGAAGGAAGGGAGAAGTTACGCAGCTGTAGCAGAGTCCTGCACTGGGTCGGGTCCCCACAAATAGCTGCTGAAACCAGGACTTGAAAGAGAAAACCGTGAGCCCGCGCAACAGGGTGTATGTAAAGCACGATCGGGCGACGGCCGCATTTACCTCCGTGAGGTGCGGAGCTGTGCTGGTCCTTTTTCCTGCGGTCACCTCCGAGCCCGTCCCGACAGTGAGCCCTGTTTGAATTCTGTTTTAGTCCTGTTTTAGTCCTGGTTTAGTCCTGTTTTAGTCCTGGTTTAGTCCTCCTCTTCAGTCCTGGAGTCAGTCCTGCGTTAGTCCTGGTTAAATCTCGGTTCGGTTCGTGTTGTAGGCTATTTGATATAATCTTGGGTTAACAGGCAGGTGCAGGCGGGTGCAGTCCTGTACTGTGCAGGTGCGGGTCTCCAAAAATGGAGCGGTGCGGGACTCTGTGCTGTAGGCTCCATTACTGAATAAATGAATCTTCGGTTCGTTACATAAAGAAGGAGGAAAATAACAAAAGGCGACATCAGCAATAAGTTTTAAGAAGGATGTAAAAAGGGTTGCACCTGTCCTGTCAAAGAAAAGTGTATAAAGTGTGTGTGAGGGGTTTTACAAACTTAAAACAGATATAATATTTGTAAAATATAAAGTTGACTACTTCACAGATTTCACCTATCATGGGTTATTTTTAGAACATAACCCCCGTGATAAACGAGGGACCGCTGTATCCCAAATTTGTGTTGAATTAATAAAATGTCACCTCATTATTGTTATCAGAATAATACCATAGATCTAGAGGTGTGCAAAATATTGATATATCGATGTATCTTATTGTTTAATGTGATGATACAGTATGGGTATTGTGGGCTGCTGTATCCATATATCACCAAGAGTATTTTTGGGGGGATATTTTACTAAATAATTTTATGAAAAAGCTACAGTTATGTTACTTGTTCAGAGAAAGGAAACTTCTTTATGACATTTTCCCTGTTTTGAGTAAAATGGGCATTTTTCATATAAACTTTGTAAACTTTATAATCTAACCCTAAGACTTTTAGTAACTGAAACATATTGAACCAATTTGAAATATCATACTGAATCGTATTGAATCCAAAGTGCACTGTATCGAAAAACGTATTGTATCGTGGCCTATGTATCGAGTTATGGAAAGTATCGGCAACTTTTTAATGATGCCCAGCCCTGTGTATATCCACCTTTTTTTTTTTTTTTTTTTACAGAATCAGTAAGCAGCATTAGACTGATATAATACAAGACTTTTACTTTTGAAATTGTGATTATTACTGTATCACTGTGCAGAGGATCAAATAGTAACAATCATTTGTTCCAGTCCCAAGCCTGGATAAATAATCCCAGTGTGATGTAATGCTAGTGTACAGTAATGCTGCTTTGTGCTTAACACAATAACCGGGAGAGTGCAGCCTGATAACAGCAGCAACAACAACAACAGCGCTAACTCAGACTTTAATTACTCTGCATAATGAGGCATGTGCTCCGAGGATGAGCGTCTTTCACACACCTCACTGTTGGTTTTATCGGTGCTGTGAAAGTGAAAGTGCTTAAATCAGCACTATACTTATGTCAAGATCATTGTTTATTCCACTAATATTTTACTCCTTATTTATTCTTGCTTTTCTTTAAAAAATAGCTTTTAAGAAAATGTATTTTTTGCTCTTATACGTTGCAAAACTAAGTAGCTTAAGTGTACTTCTTCACACGGTGGTATCGGACTGGTATCGGTATTGGTATTGGCGAGCACCAAGGCCAAGTATCATTTTCAGATCGGATTAAAAAAAAAGTATCAGGACAGCACTAGTTCTTAATTATATAATTAAGTGAACGATAATTTCATCCAGCGCACATTTGGTGTTGTGTGAAGTGTAGTGAAGATTTAGTCAGTGAAAATGCTAATGCAATGCTAATTTAATCAACTGAATCCATAAAAGCTTCAGTCAAACACAAGATATGTTTTCTTATTTAACTGTTTTTTAAAGGTGCATTGTGGAACTTTTCTGGTGGAGGGTCCATCAAATGCTTTTGTCCATGGAGATGTTATTGTTTTGTCTGGAATGTTTCACAGTATAACTTTAAACCTTTCTATCTTCATGGAGACCAAACCAGACCAAGTTACAGGTCAGATCTGTGGAGAGGTGACCCCGCTCACAGTCACAATGTCTGTTTTCATAGGTATTTTTGAGCTAAAGTAGAGCTGTTTTTGTTTTGTTTTGTTTTGGCTTTTTTTGTTTTGTTTTTTGGAATTTGGAATTTTTTATTTTTTATTTTTTACCAGGTTAAATTTTCACTCAATATCCTGTTAAATTGTTCTAAGATAATACATATACATGAACATCATTGTTTGAGCGTCAGATCCACGGACTCACAGGTTGGAGGTGTGATTCCAGCTCCCACAGATGAATGCTGTCATTGTGTCCTTGGGCAATACACCTCGCCCCACTGTCTGTGTGCACTGGTGTGTGACTGTGTGTATGATTGTGTGTGTGAATGGAGTGTTTCCTTGATGTAAAAGTGCTTTGAGTTTCTTGAATTTACCATTTACAATACAATCTATTATTATATCTAATCTTTTTTTTTTTTTTATCAACATCTGGATTCTTTGAAAACTTCATAAGACATAAGTGAGCATCTTATTAAGTTTCTCAGCCCTCCTCCTTCACCTCTCTGCAACAGTCACCAGCTGTTCTCTGACAAGCCGTGAACGCCTGGCTAATTCTGGACTCTATCTGCTGTTCAGGTTTAGATCTTTGACATATTAACAACCGAAAAGCTTTAAATTATCCGTTATTAGCCGTCCTTACTGCACGTGTGATTTAGCGTTCCTTCTGTCTGCGTGGGGGCGGACATCACGGGCCCTTCTCCGTCTTATCTGTGATGGGACGGAGCCAGGCGTTTATGAGAGGAGGAGGAGAAAGAGTGATGTCAGCCATTTTGTGTCAGACTGAGGTGATTTTACAGTGTTTTACGGTGTGGGAGAGTTCAGAGCGCTTTACGTGAGTGAAAAAAGCAGCAGAGGTGGAGGGTTAGGCCAGATCACACTCAAAACATGAAACAAGACATTATTTTCCCCTGTATTTTATTGTATTATTTAAGTATATTTGCAATTTTTCCTCTTGTATAATTGATTTTTGTATATCGCCCTATAAACTGTACGCACTACTTGTATAATTTTGACATCCCTAGTTATCTCCTGTCTTGGTATGCGTATCTTTGATTATGTTAAATGAATTATTTAAAAAAATAAACAGAGAGAGAGAGAGACAAGACAGTTCTATGTTAAATAAGAGATTAGAAAAAAATAACAAAACCAAAAAGGCTCAGATTTTACTGGTCAGACTAACTCAAACTCTCAGTAATGCAGATTGTCATTTTGTACTGGGATAAACTTTATTGATCCACAAGAGAAATTATAATAACAAACAGAAAAAATATATTGCAAATGGAAATTTAGAGTCTGATGTCAAATAAGGAAGAATTATATAAAAGTAAATGTACATGTAAAAAAAAAAAAAAAATTCTATTGTTCCAAATAGCAACAAACACAATAAAAAGAAGACTGGCCCTAAAATGTATCCTTGAGGTACACCACTGAAAACACTGGTTGGTTAGTTTTTGCTTAAAATAAATAAATAAAAAGTTTACATCTTATACACTTATCTATAATATACTCTTATGTCTATAATGTATTTTTGCTCTTTGTTATTATATTGTTATGTGCAAGCTGTGTCCAAATAATGTCTCCTGGGTATCAGTAACATTAAAAGTGCATTGTGTAAATTTTCTTCTGGTGGAGGGTCAGTCAAATGTGTTTCTCCATGGAGATATTGTTATTGCTTTGCCTGGAATGTTCCACAGTATGACTTTAAACCTTCCTGTCTTCATGGAGATCAAACTAGGCCAGCTTACAGGTCAGATC